TACATACATTACACGCACATACATTCTTGATTGCATACAAATACACATATACATACATCATACATATACACATATATACAATATATAAACATACACATATACATATATTATACACACATAAATTCTTGATTGCATACCAAATACACATAAACATATACAAAATACACTCGTAAACATATAAACATATACAAAATACACATCCACTTATACAAACACACTCAAACATATAAACATATACAAAATATATAAATTTGTTTGTAACTAAAATCATTAACTTGAAATCAGAAGCACCTTTGGTGATGGTATATCAGAAGCAGCAGCAGTGACGGTGGTATTGCCAGAGCAACACCAGTGGCGGGGGTGCCCTGAAAACATAAATTTTTTTGAGTTTAACTTGGTTTATTTGGTCATTGAAGAAAAAGAAAGGGAAGGAGGGACGAGAATTACGAAAATTGTCGGCGGTTCTGTGGTCGATTGGTTGCCGGAAGAACCCCAAAATCATCGATGGTGTTCCAGTCGCGCATAGTGGTGGCCGGTGAACGGCGTTAAACTTTCCAATCGATCGGACTCAAGTCGAAATCGTCATAGAAGAAGTTTTAAAAAGATATTCGGGTAAGTGAGAAATCGGGAACGGGCTGGCCCAATGTTGTTGCAGGGGCTTTAGCGGTGAAAGTCTTTAACAGTTAAAAGGGTCAATAGTGGTGACATGTATTGATAAATGGAGGGAAGAATTCATGGTCATTTTTTGGGGGTATTAATGATGAAATTGTCGCCACTATTGATTTCGCCGATATTACTTTTGTACGATGAATATAACTTGGTCGTTGGATTGAATTGTAAGATCGACGGATGGGATGTAGCCTTTGTTGAGAGAAAAACTTGGAGACACACTTGAACAAAAGTTAGAACAAGTATAATGCGTAGTTAATCTCAAAGGATCTAAAAGCTCAACAATAATATAGTTAGATAGTTAGAGAGTTAGTTGCGGAAATGTAAAGGAATGGAAATGACAGCAATTGTTATATCAAGAAGACACTTAAGCTGATTCATAACAAGGAATGCATTCACTCCAAGTTAATAAGGAAGATCAAGCTTAGTGATTAAGTCTTAAAGACTTGCTCCGAAGAGGGATTATGATCAGCAGAATTATAATAAGATTTAAGTAAGAAGAGATGAGTGAAGAAAGATAGAGAGATAACTTCAGAATGTGTATTCAGATAGAATTCATAAGTTATCGGTTCTTCTGTACTGAATACAAAGAGAGTAAGTCTCTATTTATAGAGACTTAGAAACTACACTAGATTACAACTCTATAAGCAGTCGTGCAAGGCATACTGGATAATAGAGTGTATTACATAAAAGACAAATAAAGTAATCTAGCTAAGTTGACTGCGGTAGCTGACTCCGGTTGCTGATGAACAAGATTGACTCCGGGTGCTGAACCGTTGCAGTAGAAAGATGGTTGCGGTAGCTGAGTTCAAGAGGATCACTTTTATGATTCAACAGCCTTGATAAATGGCACGGATTGTGCTTTAGTATCAATACCGGCGACGGTGTTACCGGCGACATGGCAAAGATGTCATCGGTAATGCCTGTGTCGTCGATAATACCGCCGCCAGTATTACTTGGATTTCTTGTAGCGAAAATGGTCATGTATTTAACAAATATTGTTTCGAAAAATCCATGTGAATAAAATCCTAGTGGGAATACATGTTGAGTATAAGACTACAAACGAAGTTGGTGCATAGAGGCTGATTATATATGGAGATGCAATGGTTTTTGTTCATGATTCCAAAAAGCGCCCATGGCGGATAAGTTGGAATGTATGTTCGTGCACCAAGACTAGTTCCCATTACCACCCACACCTAAAGCACAAATTTGAAACGAGCCTATTTCACATGTCACAATTCAAGAAATGATCAAAAGCAAAGAATAGTTAAAGCCACCATTGGAACTACAATGTGTTGAAAAGGGTTTACAAATTAAAGCCAAAAATATATTTTTAAAGGTAGTATGTCTTTCTAAAAGTTGTTGCATATATATATATATATATATATATATATATATATATATATATATATATATATATATATATATATATATATATATATATATGGGGATAGGGAATATACATTACAGTCTCACCTAAGCTTAGGTACTAAACCTCTAAAATATGTCGTTTTAATTTAGTAAATATACCCGATTTGGTTTTCACTTGTTAAATATACAATCCTCGATAACATTTTTTTCCTCCATTATCATTTTACCATCCGTGTTTTCTTTCCTCTATTATCGATTATTACTTCACCCTAGCGAACATTACTCTTTTTTACTGTCACGAAGGTCGAATATAATCAATATTCCTGTTTCCTTATCAAAACTATTGCGTCGATCTTGAATCTACATCTTCAAGTGTTAATCGTGAGTCCCCTAACCGCAATCTTTATATAGTAAAACGACGTATTTTCATGAGTTTTAGTACCTAAGCTTAGGTGGGGCTGTAATATATATTCACTTTTCCCTATATATATATATATATATATTGAGTAGCTCGGTTGCTTTATGAGGATGATGTTTGTTTGTGAATGGTGATCTCAAGTTGATGTTGTAAACTAGAATATTAAGCATTGAAGGTATTTTCAAGCTTGTCTAGTTTTGAATCCATGAAATTTTTAAGGAAAGTACCAAAATGGTATGCAAAATCCTCCAAAAAGGGCGTTTTGGAATACCCTACTCGTATCAAAACTCTTTAAACCGGCAAAACTTATAGATAATATCCATGCTTTAAGAACTTCTACACGTGCATTGAAAGTATTACAAATTGTAACACAAACATGTTAATGGAACTTGAAGTAACAGAAGTAGGAATATTCATGGGCGCCATTCCTTAGAGTAGAGTCTCAAGTTTAAACCTTATAGGTTTCAATCAAATGATGGCCATGAGAATGGTGTGTGACTCAGTTCTAAAAGAGGTTGCTTAGTATCATCACCAAATACGAGTCCTCTCCCCCAAATCTCGTAATATTGGGGAGCTGCAGTGGATGGTAGGAAATTCATTTGTTTAGAAGTAGGAATATTCTATAAAAATGACATTTGTATAATGTCCAAAAATTATACAATATATAAAATGTCATAGGAATATCTAAGTTAATGGATGTGTGTTTGGAATTTTTTGTGGGTTTATAAAATATAAAAGTTTGACCAAATGTGCCAAACTTTATATTAAAGTATATGTGATAGTAGTGATATAAAATATGGTTGATATACATGTTGGATTGCTTAATTAAAGTACATGTGTGAAGAAGGGATAAATATGAGTTTCTCACTTGCTGAAATAACAATCTAAGGCAAAAAAATCTTCAAGTTTTGAGATAAAAACCGTGATTCCGACTTCATTTTCAGAAAACTTGAATGATTTGGGTTTTTGCTATTTATAGAATGTATGTGTAAACTTTTTTAAAGATTATTGTTATTTACCATATAAAGATTTCATTGGTGTGTTTAGATTGTATTGATGTTATCAAATATGATGCTATATAGGTGATGCCTTTGTTGATTTCTGCTATAAGTTAGCAATGTAATCTTGTTTAGTGGAATTGATGTTAGAATGATATTTATTTTATAGAAATATCATCAAATTGGTAATATGTCAAACATTTGGTAATTCATGTTTTTTGTTGACAAAAATAGATATGATGGAATTTGTTTGGTGAATGGTTGATTAGATTATGAAAGTATTGGTATTTTGTGGATATAAACACATTATCTTGAATTTGGATGAAAATGGTAAATTTTGAAAGTAGGTTACTCATTAATGTTATTGGTATGTTTTTGGTACTTGGAAAATAAAGACAATCATTTGGTGAATTTTATATGTTTAGAATCACCAATGTATCATGTTAAGATGATTGGTTCGATTAGCAACGATTTTATCATTTTTTATGGACAGGATCTAACTGGTTGGTTCTCACAAAAACTAATTGAACCGAATACAATGAACCGCTAAAACCCGTGTTGAACAGGTAAAATGGACTTGGACTTAAATGTTTGGGCTACAAAATCTAGATTGTCAAAATAGGGAACGCAAAACCGAACCCACACATTTGAAGCAGATTTGACTATCGTTTCACGCTGTACTCCATCAAATTTTTGGTTATATATACATATGAAAATAAATACAAGAAAATTCTAAAAATTCTGGTCGACCCGGCGGTTGAACCGGGAGTTGGTAACCAAACTGGTTCAACTAAAAGACTGGCATTTGGTTTGGAATATGGATTGAAATTAGATTTTGTTTTGAGAAATTTAAGATCTTTCAAATATTAGTAAACATTTTATTAATTTGAGAAGTAAACATTTTCTTAATAATGAGAATTAAAGAAAATTTCATGCTATTGGGAATTAAACATTTTATTAATAGTAATTATGAAGACGAAATTAACATTTTCTTAATAATAATTATGAACAGGGATGTAAATAGGTTTGGAACCAAACCGAAACCAAAAAAATCGAAAACCGAAAATGATGAATTAAGGGAACTTGACTGAATACCATTAATCAGTTCCAAACGCTTCTGGTTCAATTTTCAATTAAAAAGCTCGTGCCTAATTATGAATACGTTATCAGAATATTTAATAGGAAATTTTCTAATTTACCCGTCACAAGTATCTAATATAAATTGTGGTATTGGAAACTCAACATAATATAATTCCCCAATCAAACGTGTTTTGGTTATAATACAAATTTTATAAATTTGTGGAAATTGAATATGGTTTTTGAAATAAAATCGATGTTCTAAAAACATAGTTGTCATTAAACATTTGTTTCGGAAACCGTTGCATTTTTGTAACTTGTTTTCATTATTTACAATAGGTTGGGAATCCAGTTAAACCTACTATAACATATCATAATGGCATATTTTTTAACAAACATTAGTTGTTGCTAGTTGGTTACCCTTCCAAACATTGAAATGACACAAATGACTACATGTGAACATACCATAAACAAAGCGCACGTTTATTTATTAATTATTCTTTCAAGATTTTATATACATATCTTATCATCTTCAAACCAATCTACATTGAACAAAAACAGTCTCTTAAGCATCATCATAAGAGATATGAAAACTAGTGGTGCAACCAGATGCATTAGGTTCCTCTGCTCCACAACAATCATAGAATTTGGCAGCATATGGTGGATCATTAGGTCCCAATTCATAGTACCTTCAAAAAGTTTCAATACATATTTAACAATCTACTTGCCTCAAATGATATTAAAGAATGATAATCTACACTCCAAAGTATACATAAACAACAATCAATCCAATCGTATTATTTTAAAGAGGGAAAATGACTTAATCAGGTAATATAGTTTTTAATTTTGTACACATTTAATCACTTACGTTTTTTTTGTTCACATTTGACTATTTAACTTGTTTTTTTTACACATTTAGTCCTTCTAACCAGCTGCTCCAGGTTTACATAAACATAAAAACAAGTTAAATAGTCAAACGTAGACAAAAGAAAAAAGCATCATAGACTGTTCGGCGCGCCACAGCTAGCTTACTTTTCGAGCTTTTTTAAATTGTCATGTTTGGAAAGCCAAAAAGTTGCTTATAAGTTAGCTTTTTAAAAAGCTACTTAGACTGGCTTTTAAGAAGCTTTTGTAAAATTTTCAAATATAGCTTTAATTAATTATGAAAACACATTCTTTTAAAAGTCCTTTAATTTCGTTTTATATCTTTCAGCTAGTTTTACCAAACGTCATTTTTTATCGGCTAACTTTTTTACTTAACAACTAGTTTTCAGCTAACAACTAGTTTTTCAGTTAGTACGTCAAACATAGCCTAAATGTGTACAAAAAGAAAACTATATTACTCTATTAAGTCATTTTCTCTTTAAAAAATCATATAATTTAAAATTTCACATTGATTTAATCATTATAAGAAGACACCTTTTCTGATCATCATGACGTCGACATACAAAGAAAGAAGGATGGAATCGACAAGCAGAAGGAGTGTTTGAAGAGGGGTCGTATGTTTCTTTACACCGCCTGCATATAACCCCCACCACCCTCTTCACTTCCCCGTTTGTAACCTTCTCCATTGATTCTACTCGAATCCTGTGACCAAAGTTTGTTTATCGGTCTTTTCAACTCTCTAAGTAATAGAACTTTGAGTAAATTACAGAAATGGTCCCTAAGGTTATCAACAATGTCAATAACATAAAGAAATTATAAAAAAGGGTATATATGTCTTTTCACATGCATTTAACGGCGGAATGGAAATTAACGGAAGTTAGCCTTAGGGACCATAGGGTAGGGCATAGGGACCGGCGATGTCAAATAGTAGGACTAATAGTGCGAATTGAGGCAAACTATAAGGACCAAATGTGTAATTTATTAAATCTTTCTGTTAGGAATTTCATGATCTTAATTAAATTATAAGTTTATTTTCTATGTGTAAATATAAAATAATTGTTTTATCATAATTTCGTTTGAGTTTTAGTAAGCTTCATTAGACTTAATTTTTAGTTTTGTTATTTAGTAAATGCTATAGTTTATAATTTTATTAAAATGAAAATATAAAGTAGTGTTCAACATTTAGCTTCTATTTACATATAATATAATATTTTCAAATGATCATGTAATGGAATCGATGTACCTTGATATTATTCCATTCATTCATCATTTCTCTTCCATCCAATCCAATCCAATCAAAACAAACCCTAATAAAAAAACATGAATGAATTGCATTTGTAGACATTTTTCACCTCCAAAAGTACAGATTTTCATGTGGAGTTAAAAGAAGCAAAGTGTTCCAACTAAATAAATTCTCCAAAAAAGGGACCCCTCAAGTAAACAATAGTTTCTATTGGTGTGATGAACAACAAATATCATAACTTTATTTCTTATTGGCCTACAATCACATCTACTACCTTCTACTCTATCTAGCGTCCTAGGAACACATTAACTATTAAAGCACATTTCATATTATTTATAAAGCATGATTTAATGTTTCACCTATAACTTTTTAATGAATGTTGTCATATCATAGGATACCGAAGCAATTTTGGATCGTTCAACTAGATTCTAGACCTATATTATGAGAACTAACAATACAGCAAATAGGCAATAAAACAAAGACATTTACATCAAAGAGATTCTAAAAGGGCCTACAAATTTGCAACAAATTCGAAGAGTTAAAGACCTATGTGGAGCAAACATTCAAGAAAAAGAGATACCAAACTTTGTATTCTTGTTCTTGTTCTTGTTTGTTTGCAGATTGAAGTTATGAAAAAATGTAATAGTGAAATATGTATGACTCGTATCTGTCCACACAATAGTTCTCTACATGTGTAGTCATCAGAAGCCAACAAATAATTTTAGGAGAATTATTATTGCAGAATCATCCATATTTAGGAGGACCCCTTTTTCAAAAACTCCATTTTAAAGATTCTTAGAGACAGGTGGCAATTCAGGAATGCTGGGACATGGTGATACTTTGATCAAGTAAAATGATTAATACCAATATTGTAATCAGTTATCACAAACATTTACATGAGAAAGTTTGTGTTTTTCAGTCGATTTTGGTTTTGCAAAACAAGCGACTGGATAAGTAATGAAATTATGTATCAATTTTAGGCTTCTCGAACATTAAGAAGGAGAATCTAGTTTGTGAAATAAGGTTTTGTTCAATTGGATTTTGTTTCAAACCAGTTTAATGATAACCCGCGTATAAAGATCTGATTATATGAGCAAATAATGGTGAACTCGATTGCTAGAGATGGATCTTACTGTTTTTGACCTAATGAAAGTTTGTCTGCAGATTGTTCTTGATTTCGGGTCTAAATTAGATGACAGATGATGCAAACAAGCTGAGATGAATTTTGCTTACCGTACATGAGACTGAGACGGATGATATGTGTTGAGAATAAACCATGTGAAGAACAGAAACAGAAGTGTATTAGGGTTTGATAATCTGGTTATTAAACTATACTAATGCTTAAATCGATAAGATAAAAATTGATCGAGGACGAAGTGCAGAAGGTACTTACGCATACCAGAGAGAAATTCTTCTGTCTAACGAATGACCGTGATGAAGTCCATAATCGAAACGACTTTAAGCTAGTACTGGTAAAAAAAATTGGGGATTAGGGTTACGAAAAATGTTATATTTTTCATTGGAAGAAGGGAAAATGACATAAAAGCCCTTAAGTTTTCACAAAAATGTCGGTTTTACCCTTGGACGTGTTTTATGTCCAGTAAAGCCCGAAGTTTTGTTTAATTTGTTCATTTTTACCCTTGTAGCCGGTTTCCAGGTAACCGGTAGGTTACCTAATGCCAGTAAAGCCCTTGAATTTTCAAAAATGTTCGGATTTACCCTTAAGTTTTTCAAAAATGTTCGAATTTACCCTTACATTGATTGTTATTATTATTATTTATTATTATTATTATTATTATTATTATTATTACATTTTTAATTGTATAAAAATACTTTATACATACATTTTTAAATGTATAAAAATATTTCATACGTTTTTAATACATTTTTATACATATTATTATCATTATTATTATTCTTATTATTATTACTATTATTATTATTACATTTTTAAATGTATAAAAATATTTTATACACACATTTTTAAATGTATAAAAATATTTTTACTAATATAAATATATTTTTAAAAATATATATACTTGTATTTAATATTTATATATACATTTGAAAGCCCGTGTATTCCTATAGAAATGTATTTATATATTAAAATGTATTTATTTGTATTTAGTAAGTATAAGTAATATATATATCTATATATATATATAATATATATATATATATATATATATATATATTATATATATTATTTCTATAAAATATATTATATACATATAAATATAAAAATATGTATTTATATGGTTTATATTATATAAAAGATATAATTATATGTATTTGTACATATTACCAAGTATAAATATATATTTATTATCAAACATCATACTAAATAGATAAGCAAAATAAATAATCATTAATTAAAAACATAACGTAACAATTATAAAACCCTCGTAATTAGAAAACCTCAATAAAAACACTCGATTACAGATAAGATTTACTATAAAATTTAAAAAAACCTCTCTTATTCAACTATATTAGGTTAATAGTTAGTAGATAACAATAAATGATCAACAAATAACACTCGTAAATGGAAAATATACAGAATATAATTCAAAAAAACCTCGACAAAAACACTTGATCACTGTAAAAATTAAGTATTATCAACTTAAAATCATTCATTAACTGTTTTTATCTCAAAAATTGATAACGAAATGTCAAATACGAGTGTAAACTTCATTTATGATTGTTGTAAGTTCACAAAAAAGATCACGAAATGCATCAATTTTTATATTGATTTGAAGCATTTGTTTTTGCAAAATCAGTCATTGACGACATTTTTTACTTTATCAAGCTTTTTCTGTTCGATTCAACAATTATAGATGAAGATTTAGGGTTTTCAAATGTATATAAATACTAAATACAAGTACATATATTTTTAAAAATATATTTATATTAGTAAAAATATTTTTATACATTTAAAAATGTGTGTATAAAATATTTTTATACATTTAAAAATGTATTAAAATGTATAAAATATTTTTATACATTTAAAAATGTATGTATAAAATATTTTTATACAATTAAAAATGTAATAATAATAATAATAATAATAATAATAATAATAACAACAATCAATGTAAGGGTAAATCCGAACATTTTTGAAAAACTTAAGGGTAAATCCAAACATTTTTGAAAATTCAAGGGCTTTAATGGCATTAGGTAACCGGTAGGTTACCTGGAAACCGGCTACAAGGGTAAAAATGAACAAATTAAACAAAACTTCGGGCTTTACTGGACATAAAACACGTCCAAGGGTAAAACCGATATTTTTGTGAAAACTTAAAGGCTTTTATGTCATTTTCCCTTGGAAGAATAACACAAACGCCTTTTAAGTTTGTCATTTTCTAACAGATTTATCCTAATAACAATCTTTTTTTCTTCGTGTAAGAGCTTTAATAGGTTTTTTCATAATTGGCATTTATTAGGTTACCTTTCTCTTAATCTGCTATCTTTATCTATAGGATGATCTTTTGAACTGGTTTGGAACCGGAACCAGATTTAACAGATTACATAAAGCAACCTTCAGTGTCGGTTCCGATCCTGGTCTCGGGTGTCGGTCGTTGTTATATCCTTAACGTTGTTGCACCCTTCCCATTTAGAATTGTTACGTTTTGAGAAGCCAAAAACGTTTGCACGCATCACTGACATCACCGTTATGTACTTAATCGAGTTGGAAATTGGTATTTGCAAGTAATCATCACGCAAAAAAGGGTTTATGAGTAAACATAGAGTTAGAGTTGTGATTTAGTTTCTAACATCATATTTTTTTTGGTAATTGAAGATTTTGGGTGAAGAAATGTGTACAGAGAGTAGGGGTGTATGATTTCATATTGATGTGATTTCAATTATTTTTCTTCAAATTGGTTTCTTAAATGAAAATGTTATGCTCTTTAACACAATATGGTGTAACATGGAGTATGTGATTGTAATGGCTTCATCAAAGGATGGGTGCAACAACCAATTTGTTGGTCTATACACATCATGGCAAGTAGATCGCCACGTCATGCAACCCTGTGAAATAGAAAACGAAATAAAACAGAAAAATAATTTTTTGCTGATTTACCCCACAAAAATGATTGATAAAATAAATTTTATTAAAATAAGTCGTTCCCCGGCAACGACGCCAAAAAACATGGTGTGTTATAAAACAAAGCTTTAAAATTTATATATTATCTATTAAAGTCGGCTAAAACACAATAGACAACGTATCTAGTTGTGCATTAATAGAGTAGAGTAAGTAAGAGTCAAACACATAGGAATGAAATTTTAATATGTTAATAACTAAACTAAGAAAAATAACTTAAAATAGGGGTGTTATCTGATTTTGCAAGTCCATAAAAACTTAAATAAAACAATCTACTAAAATCACTTTAAACTAAAGCAAACAACTAGAAAACGAGATTTAATCAAGAATTAAAAGATACTTCCGTTTAGTTTGGAATCCCCCCCCCCCCGGTCGCGCACATCTTACCCCCAGATTTGTCGGAGATTTGGAAACTTGGTCCACCAAAAGAGTGACACGTGGCAAGATTTGGATGGGCCACGAAGCGAGTACATGTCGCTCAGCAGAGTGCCTGACGCGCACCATCACTATAAATATGGGTGCTTGCTTCCTGGTTTTTCATCTCAAACCAACGTCCAAACTCTCTCTCTCTCTCTCTCTCTACATTAATACCCTCTTGATGGCAAGAAACTCTCGTTACAACAGTTCGGGCCCTCCTCGATACGCTATTAGTGTGTGTTTACGACCCATTTTTTACTGTTTTAAAATCTTTTCAGGGGGAATACATGCTTAACAAATGATTTTATAAAAATATTTACCTTATAAATATCAAGTCATTTTATTATAAACAAGATACATTAGGATAGTATAATTGTAGATACTATGCCTAGATTTAAGCTATGATATGTGTCTAAAAGATATGATGCATGATAATCTAGGAATAGGTAATACCTAGATGTTATAATGGCCAAATCCCTAGGAAACTTAAAGTACTTAAGGAGTTATGCTCGACAAGATTTAGGATATCCACTATACTTAATTGTTACGCTGCCCAAATATTCTATTAAAATAACCATAACTAGGGTATATATATGACAATTTATATAAATCAGATAATTATGAGATCATTAATATAATTATCACACACACACACACACACACACACACACACATATATATATATATATATATATATATATATATATATATATATATATATATACACGATAATAACTATATACAAATATCATTTGATGATATATACCCGGAAAAGGTATATACAAAGATAGTGTGATGTATATATACATATATTAAGTTATATATATATATATATATATATATATATATATATATAGAGAGAGAGAGAGAGAGAGATAGATTCAGGTGTTTAAAGTAATTATTGTGTTATTGTATGTATTAATGTGGGCCAATAGAAATTAAATAAAAAATTAAATAATTAAATACATAAATAAGGGTAATTTAGTAATTTGTTTAGTAACTTCCAAAAATAATCCATATAATCATGGTATTGATTTATAATCTAAATAAATAAGCGTGTCTTCCTCAATCTCCCACCCGATAAAGCCCTAGCATCCTACAGGGTATTGACGCTTTCAGATCGTGTTCGGAAACCCTCACTGATCATTCAAAAATAATCGATGGGGAAAACCTCTTCATCTTCAACGAAGAGGGTAAAACAGTCAAACCAGACATACTTCCCGTATCCGAAACCAAGGAGATCAGAAGTGTTCTTCACCTTCGTTTCCAAAGGTAGATGAAACAAATCGTTATCGAGCTCTAACATGGTGTCACGCAGATCCGAAGAGACTTTATGGGTGGCCAGGAAACGATTTTTTATCCCCTTTTCATGATCCAGGTATGATTTTCGATTAGAGTTCTTATTATATCAATTTGGGGTTGCTGGAAATCTTTTTCACACACACAAATCGGGAATTCCTTGAACATCAACTTGAAACCCGTTTTCTTCCTCTCTCTTGCGATACCACTTCTCGATCAACATCGCTTGTATGAGAATCCATGGACTCTTCCTCGTTCTCACTCTCAGCTTCTCTCCCTCTATCGATTCCAGTCGCATGCAAAACACACACACAATCCACCCACACCCTCTCTCTAATTCTTCACAGTTTTTAGGGGAGAAAAAGGAAGGTGTTTGACTCTTAAAAAGGCAAAAATAATCGAGAATGGCAGGAATCATCTAACTTTCAGAAGTATCTCGTCTGGTAGGCTCAAAAGGGTAAGAAGGCAAGTCTCCCTCTGCTGCGTCGATTTCAGTGCAGAAGAAGTTATTAAAGCTGATGAATTGTTGCGATTTAATACAATTTGATTTAAAATTGATTTTTAAATGCCTTCAGCTGTTAGGAACTTAGGATAGTTTGATCTTTATCTTGCATTTTACCAGACTTCATGGGCATTATAGAGAAACGTTTGAGTTGATAGTTTGTGT